TGGTCCAGTAACCTTCCCTGAAATTTGTCCAGAGACGTTGTGGAGGCCACATGTGATTCTAATCTTCCTCAGGGTTTGAATCCTGCATTGTGATTCTGTAAACTAGGCCCCTCTTTGTGCTGAGGATTGAACCCAGTGCCTCACTTATGCTAGGCAAGTGCTCTACTACTGAGCTACATCCCCTGCCCTAAACTGTACCCTCTGCTTTGGAAAATGTAGCTTATCCTCTTCCCAACCCATGCTTGATGCGTGACATGTACAGGATCATACATGAATGCTTGCACACACACGTATTTATAAAATATTAACCAAGAGGAAAAATAACAAACCTGCCTTTGCTCTAGCTCCCTTGTTGGGAGAACACACTAGTGTGTGAGATTGTCCATCCGTGGTTCCAGATGCACTGACTGCACTCTGTGGAAACTTGGAAAGGTACAATCTGAGTCTGGTGCTGAGGAAAGCCTGGCCCAGGCATCTGGAGGGCTTTCTAGTGAGCATTGAAATGGAAACTTCAGGCTGGCATTTTGGTGTGGTTTCATTTTTCAGATCCAGCTCTAATCTATGACAAGTGTATAGAAGAGGAGGATGGCTTTGAGGGGGCCTTGGACATCTTTCCCCCTGGTTATAGTTCTAAGGCTCTAGAGCCACAGCTGTCAGGTGAGCTCTTGACGCCAGTATATGCGCTCCTCTAGGAGAAAGGGGTGGAAGGTGGGCCTGAAGTTATTTTCATGCTGTAGCTGTCTTGTCTCAAGGAAGGCTTGTCTCAAGAATAAGAATCATGGGCCATTAAAACAGCCAGTTGGGGACTAATGGTTGCTGCTCTTCTCAGGTAAGATGTTGGTCCTTGATTACATTCTGGCGGTGACCCGAAGTTGCAGCAGTGACAAAGTAGTGCTGGTGTCCAATTACACCCAGACATTGGATCTCTTTGAGAAGCTCTGCCGAGCCCGAAGGTAGGGAACAGCCCGACCAGGCCAGCAGAGAGACCTGCCTCCTCCAGTGCCCCTCTACGAAGATTAGGTGTTCTGATTTATAGATGTGGGCCGAGATGTGAGTACATGAAGGATTTATCTCCCAGCAAGCTATCCATTAGTCCCTCAGGTACGGCCCCTCCCTCTCAGGATAGAGTCCTAGTCCCTAGCTCCGTTTGGGAGGGGCTCAGGCTATGTAGGAGCAGCCTTAAGCTTGATTAGTCTAGTCCCCTCAGCACCACAGCTTCAGGGCTTCTGCTTTCTTCTTGGGTGCTGATCTTTGGACCCCTCTTTAGGTACTTGTACGTCCGCCTGGATGGCACGATGTCCATTAAGAAGCGAGCCAAGGTTGTGGAGCGCTTCAATAGTCCATCGGTAAATGTGCAGCCTCTGTCCACACACCAGCAATATGGTAACATCAGGACCAAGGGTCGGTAGAGAAGTTCTAAGAGGCTCTGTTTCGGGTTTTGGTTTTGGTTCGTTTATGTGGGGCAGATGCAGTGGTTGGGTTGGAAATTGATTTTCTGTAGGTTAGGAAACTGGCTGGCAGGCAAACAGGTCGCCCTTACCATTAGTCTGGATATGAGAATAGAAGCATGAGAGAAGAGTTAGCTGTGCTGAGTCGTCTCACAGTTTTGTAAGAGGTTCTTTTTTCCCATTTTTTTTCCAGAGCCCTGATTTTGTCTTCATGCTGAGCAGCAAGGCTGGCGGCTGTGGCCTCAATCTCATCGGGGCCAACCGGCTGGTCATGTTTGACCCTGACTGGAACCCAGCAAACGATGAACAAGCCATGGCCCGGGTTTGGCGCGATGGTCAGAAGAAGACCTGTTACATCTATCGACTGCTGTCTGTGAGGATGGTGATAGTGGTCAGAGTTGGGGAGGGGTCATGGGACAAGAGCTTCAGGATCATCTTTTTCTTTTCTTTGTGGTACTGGGGGATCAAACCCAGGGCCTTGTGCATGCTAGGCAAGTACCATTACTATGGAGCTATGTTCCCAGCCCTTTTTTTTTTTTTTTTTTTGTACCGGGAATCAAAGACTTCCTGGAATTGTTAGTTGCTCTCTTTGGCCCCTCTGCCTCTGTCAGTAGTGTATGGGTCTAGCCTTGAGCCCTTTATTGTGTCCCTCCCCTTTCCACCCTATTCCTCCAGTGCGTCTTACAGTGTTGTCCAGGTGTTTGGTACTTTTTCTTCACAGGGAACCTGTTTTTTCTGATGCCCAATTTCTGCTGCATCACTGGCATTCCACTCCCATATTCCATGTTTCATGGGGCCAAGGAATGGAAACAGCATTTTCTCCCATCGCTGTAGTTCCATCCATCCCATAGTTCCTCTCTCTGCAGTGCATATTGTCTGACTTGACTTTCTTTTCTTCCTTGCTATAGTCATCTAACCTCTGCTATGCTCCTAATTCATGATGACTTCAGACACTGGCTATTTCTTTCCCAAATCCAGCAGTCATTTTGGCAGACCTTTCGGACCGTGCAGTTTTCCAGTACTCTGGCCTTTGTGTTTCCTTGACTTTATCTCATGACCTCGAGTCCCCTCGTCTGATACTCCTAAGCGCACACTATGGAACTTGTTAGTACCCAAAACTTTAATAATGGTTATCCTACTCTCATGCTATCCTTCAGTTTTCTGATACCTACTACATCTCCTTTAACCTGGTCCCAGGACCTCTCCCATCCCCCAGTCTGGCTTGGCTTCCTTTTTTTTACTTAGCGTGAGCCTTACTGTGCATGCTTTTAGCTGCTGTGTTCCTGGTACCCTCCTACCTGAATCATTTCAGCTGTTCTCAGCTTCCACACCAGCTCGTGTTTATACAGTGGGCCCACTACAAATTCACACCATCCCTTTTTAGGGTAGTCCGTGTCTTACTCCTTCAGCAACACTGTAAGCCTTCACCTCTCCCCTCAAGTTTCCTCCCTAACCCTGGCTTGTTCTTTTTAAAAGACTTCCATCTTCTCCATGGAGAAAAGAGACTATGAGGCATGAATTCTCTCAGGTCCTTTCCTCTTTTCTGTCTCTATAGCTGATCTTCCCATCTCTAAGGGTACCCTTCCTGTTTGAGGCTAGTTCTTTCCCTCTGTTCGAAAGCCCTAGTATAGGTGTGTACTACCACACCTCACTTCCACTTGGATTTCTTCTGAGCACTTAAGTGTTTCCCTTCTGGATTCTGAACGGATTCCCCTACCATTTATTTAGTGGCACCATTATTCTCTTAACCCAAGCCTGGAAATCATTCTGCTGGACTACTCTCTGCCTCTTCATCAGATTCCTACGACTTATCACTGATGTTACCTTCCTGAATCCTTAATCTAACCCTCCTTTCCATCACTTGGAAAGGTCACAGTCAGCTGTCTATATCTAAGTAGCTAATTCTTTAATATTCAGTGACCTTGTCTCTTAACCCATTCTTCACATGCTACCTCTAAAATAAGTTCTCCAAAAATTATAAATTTGCTCTTCATCACTTCAAAGACCAAGCCCTCCACTAGCACCCAAGGCTGTCCAGTGTAGCTTCCTTACCCCCAGTCCCGCCCACACTGTCCCCTGTATTGTCCATGCTGGCTTGATCTTCTGGGCCCAGATGACCTTCTGGGCTCAGCCTCCAAAGTAAGGACTTTTCATAATCCTGTAATAGGCCCAGTTTATACCTTTGCTTCTAGGCTGGGAATGCCTTTGCTCCTCTTCTCCTGTGGAAACTATCATTTTTCAAGATTCAGTTTAAGGATAATCTCTTTTGGTCTTTTTGAGACAAGGTTTTGCCATGTAGCCCAGGCTGGCCTTGAACTTGGAGCGATCTTCCTGCCTCAGGCTCCCCAGTGCGGGAATCACAGGCATGCATGCCAGCTACCTAAGAATTATCTTTTAAGCTTTTTAACATTATTCTACCATCCCTCTTGTGGTTTATGTGTAGCCTGTACAGATATCTTACCATTGTACAAATTTATTTCAAGGATTGGGATCATACCTGATTCTCTTGCTAGTACAGGGCCTGCCTGGCATAAACTAGATACCTAAATGATTACAGAATTAATGAGACTTGGGCTTAATGTGGAGGTCTGAAGCCATTACAGGCAACCTCAGTTTACCCTGAAAGGAACCTGCTAGGCCCTGAGACCCTTCATAGTACAGAAAATAGGTTGGGCCGAGCATGGTGGTACACTGCTGTAAGCACCCAGGAGGCTGAGGGAGTAGGATTGCTGGGAGTTTAAGGCCAGCCTAAATTGCATAGTGAAACCCTGTTGCAAAAAAAAAGAAAATAGCCTGTGTAGGTGCACATGCACGAGTCACATTCCTAGAAAGTACTCAGAAAATAAGGCTTTGCTGAGTATTCCAGTATTTGTACTATTCATTTCATCTCCTGAGTGGTTGTAGTTTCAACCCATGGGTTTCCCTGCTCCCTCTCTATGGGGATTACTGTGCCCTCAACCCTGTTCCCTCAGGCAGGAACCATCGAGGAGAAGATCTTCCAGCGGCAGAGCCACAAGAAGGCACTAAGTAGCTGTGTGGTCGACGAGGAGCAGGATGTAGAGCGGCACTTCTCTCTGGGCGAGCTGAAGGAGCTATTTACTCTGGATGAGGCTAGCCTTAGTGATACACATGACAGGTCGGTGGTGTGCATTTGCCATTGTCTCTGAGCCGCCTGCACAGCACAGAAATGAGATATGTAGTGACCTCAGCTCTATTCTTGTTCAGGCTGCATTGCCGCCGATGTGTCAATGGCCGTCAGGTCCGGCCACCCCCTGATGGTTCTGACTGCACTTCAGACCTGGCTCAGTGGAACCACAGCACTGATAAGCGGGGTCTGCGGGATGAGGTACTCCAGGCTGCCTGGGATGCTGCCTCCACAGCCATCACCTTCGTCTTCCACCAGCGTTCCCACGAAGAGCAGCGGGGGCTTCACTCATGACCAGCTGATCCAGGCGTAGCTGTTAGGAGGAAGGTTACAGGGAAAGGGGCCCCTGCCCCACAATACCCTGCTGAATTTTGTTCTCTGGGAGAAAAACATCAAGAAGGGCTGCATGATGTTTGCCCAAAATTTATTTTATAAGAAAAACTTTTTGGTTAAAAAAAAGAAAGGAATAAAGGTATGAAAGGGACTGAGGCCTGAGAGCAGTGTGGTAAGCCCAAGAGGGAAGAGGCCTGGGAGTGGGCACTCCTACACTTCTCTAAAGCCTGGATGCCTGATTGAGGAGGGGAGGTGGGAACCCTAGGGCAAGGAGAGGGAACTGTCCTCGGTGACAGTGATGACCACTGTGACCTCCTGGTCCAGGCTCCCAGAGGACTTGAGTAAGGGGCCGAAATCTCCAAACCCAGCTGCAGGAATGCCTTAGCCAGGCTACATCAAGGCCTCCAGGACCTCAGTGCAAGGGAAGATGGAAAAAGAGAAAAAAGGTGACAGAGAAAGAATTGATGGTGGGAATTCTGGGCAGCCCATGCCTCAGCCGCTACTAGCTGAACATGGGCCTGTGAGGTATGGGCCCCGTCACATGGTGCTGACATAATCTGCGAAGGCCTGGGATGAGTCCCACGAGTCGCTAACCACGTGGCAGGTGGCCCGGAGCCGCCGGATGGCTTCCCTGGCTGTGACTGCATCCTGGTCCAGCCAGTTCTGGAAGAGGCGCAGGTGACCAAAGGCTCCACGGCCCCAGCGCTCCAACCGCTTGGCAAACTCCAAAAGCCCATCTGGCTTGATACAGTTGGAACTGGCAGAGATGAGATGGATTAGACATCCAGCAAGCAACTAATCCCTGGTATATAGCTCTGTGGTCCCATCCCCCCAATATACCTGATGTCCAGCTGACAGAGAGAAGAGGATGAATCCTCTGAAAAAACATCTGCCAGAGCCAGCAGGCCAGCATTTCCTAGAGAGAAGGGGAAAAGTGCACATTACCTCCACCAAAGCACAGGGAACAAGGGTATCCCAATCCAACTCTGGCTGAGAAGCCCCAGAACACAAAGGTCTATATTCTGATTCCCATCTTCCCAGTGGAAGGGTCTAGCCTCTACCCAGGCAGCTTCTAGGTCAAAGGCCTGGTTTCTTGCCCCCTGCCTCCCCAGGGTCTGCCTCCTACCCAGGCGGTTCCCAGGCAGCCGAAGGCCCTTCAGTGTGGAGTTGCCCTTCATAGCAGCAACCATCTCAGGCAGAAATTGGGCTGGGCGCTTCTCAAACAGACGGCAGAAAGAGAAGGTAATCTCTGTCAAAAGAAATGAAAAGCAAATTTGGATGGCTGCATTAGGACTGGTGCTGCCCCTCCTTCCCCAGATGGCCCTAGCAAGGTATTACGAACTTTTGAGACCCAGAAAGGAATCACGCCAAGATTCTAAGCAAGGCTGGAACTAAATCAGGGCTCAAATACAAGACTGAGCCTAAGTGTTACTAGAAGGAAAATCTGCATGGATCCTCCCGTTCACTCTATCCACTGATGATTCTATGTATGCAGTGATGGGGTTGGAGAAGTCAGTGAGGCAGGAGCTTGGCACAACATGTGTATTTTTACCCCTACCACCATTTCTGCCAAGTAAGAAAAATGGGAAAGTACTGTGAAAGTGAGTAATTTTCCATGCTTGTAGAGGAGCTGAGTTCCAGACTTTTAGAAGGAAGATCATGGAGAGTGTATGTCTTTTATAGTGGAGGAACCATGGTGAAGAAAGGAACAGTGACACAGCAGTGGAGCCACAGTGAAGACCCAGGAATGCCCAGGTTCAAGATTAGGAATTTACCTTGAAGAGTCAGGTTCTGTAGCAAAAAGAGCACCTCGCTCTGACAGTCAGCCAGATTCATGTCATGGAAGCTCAGCCTCTTCAGGGCTAAGTTGTATTCTGGATAGGAGGCACAGACCACAGGCCTTAGCTTTCCCATGGAACACCAGGTCCCCACCTGCCCTCTGTCACCATTCTGGCTGGATCCTACCTTTGAGTGTCTGCAACACAAGTCCAAAGTCCTGGGGAGAGGCAAAGGTGGCACTGTCCAAGGATAGCTGCTGTAGAGATCCTGAGGCCTTCAGAACAGAGCAGAGCAGTGGGGCCGGCTGGGCTCCTCGTGGAAATCCCATCTCCAGCTGTTCCAGACAGTTTTCTGGATATGACAGGGAGAGAAGATTCCAGCTGGCTATCTACCTCATGCCCAATAGCAAGTCCCAATGTTGGCTTTAAGGGATAAGCTAAAAACAGTTTATTCATCCACTTGTCCTTGTCAGTCACTATGCTTGGTTTTGGGCATACAGCACTAAATATGAGATATGGTCCTTGTCCTCATAGAGGTTTCAGTCTAGGAATATTAAATCACTCAGGTGGAGGCAAATGTGAGAGTATATATGCAACATGATGGGATAGGCATAGGAACATATAGCAAGAGGATCTAATTTGGTGTAGGTTCAGATCACTCTTCCGGGAACTAAACCACCATAGTCACCTAGGCTTATAGTGGTCTGGGCCTTATCCAGCCCAGGGTTATTGTAAAGAACAGTAGCCTCTAGGGGCTGGGGATTTAGCTCAGTGGCAAAGCGCCTGCCTGGCAAGTGCAAGGTCGTGAGTTCGGTTCCTGGTACCGGAGAAAAACCAAAAAAAAAAAGAACAGTAGCCTCTAAATGGGGAGGAGATTCCGGATGAGCCAGGAATGAGTCAAAGCAGACCTGAAGTGGAGATCCTTCCCCATACCGGTGCACTTGCACATTTGTGGAGAGATTGTGTGTGTGTGTGTGTGTTTTGTTTTTCTTTTGTCTTTTTGAGACAGGGTCTCCCTGTGCAGTTCAGGCTGGCCTTGAGCTCACTTTGTAGCCCAGGCTGGTCTCAAACTTGCAAGGATCCTCCTGCCTCAGCCTCCTGAGTGCTGGGATTACAGGCGTGTGCCACTACACCCGGCAAGATTGTGTGTATATGGACATATACATGTACACAGTGCTTCACCTGGTATCTCCTCATCTCCAATTATGTGGCTAGGGGGCCCAGCGTTCCCTGGCACAGCAGGGTTGTCCCGCTGACTTGGATGGTCGACACGGATAGAGAGAACCCGCAGCAGGGGCAGGGCTCGCACGATGGCACGTGTCAACTCCAGGATGGGCAGCGGTGAGAATAGGTCACTGAGATGCAGGGCACGGAGGCGACATCCAGCCTGGCCTGACAGGGCCCTCAAGCTGTCCAGCAGGCGGAAGATGTTAGAGCCCAGGCCTGTGGCAGGAAAGATTAAATCAGTCACGTGGGTGTCAGCAGGAGACAACTTTCAGAGACAACTTTCAATATTTCTATTGGCTACTCTTGAAAAATCTCTTGAGCTTTGGATCAGATTTTTTAAAACTTTTCTCCAGATTACTCATCTGTATCTTGCTTTTTTCCTCAGGTAACCAGCACACTCTGATACTCTGATGCCTACTGTATGAGGCTGTGCCCTCAAGAAGAATAGGGCACAGTTCAGAGATAAAAGATGTGCATAGTAGGGCAGCACATGGCTATCAGGAGACAGATAGGCCCAGAGAGCAGCACAGGTCTCCAGACTTCTGAGTTCTGTGTAATGTCCTGAAAAAGCTGTGGGTCTTAGGAGGGTCATAAGTTTGAAACAAACCTAGGCAACTTAGTGAGACCCTGATATAAAAAAAGCCAAGTATGGTGCACATACCTCTAATTCCAGCCCTTGGGAGGCTGAGGTGGGGGGATCACTGAAAATTTGAGGTGAGACTGGGCTACACAGTGAGTCCAAGGCCAGCATGGACTACACTGTGAGACCCTGTACACCAAAAAAAAAAAAAAAGTGGGGGGTGGCTCTGGTAGAGCACTCCTGGCTTCTATCCCCAGCACTGTAAGAAGCTGGACCTTGAAGGAAACAAAATTTTAAGAGGAAGACACAAGGGTCACAGATGTAAGTGGAAGAAATGAGTAGAAGGCTCATCTTGAGATGGGGGCTTAGGAAACAGCTTTAGAGGGTAGGAGAGTGAAGCCCATGTTGTGGGAAGTCCTAAAAGTGAAGCTAAAGAGATGATTTAATTAAGTCACGGGGAGCACCTGTAAAATGCAAAGGGATGTGTCAGTGACCTAGAGGAAATATGTTTCAGCATTCACTGCGTGGGAATGAAGCAAAAGTTTGGAGTGGGTGATGTAGCTTAGTGATAGAACACATGCAAGTGCAAGGCCCTGGATTCAGCCCCCAGCACAGGTTAAAAAAAAATTACACCCCACAGACTGAAGTAGGATCCAGAAAGGTACAACAGTTGCTTATTAATGCCATAGGCAAATAATACCTTGGAACCTACTCCTTCCCTCATCTCTTGGACTGTTCATTTATTCAACTAAAGTTTGCCAAGGACCCACCAAGTGGGGTTTCTTGCTGGGTACTAGTGAGCAGCACATGATGTTCTTGCCTGTATAACCTGATAAAAACAGGAATCAGAGAGGCAAGGAAGGCCAGAGATATAGTTCAGTGGCATAAGCACCCGGCTGGCAAGCACAAGGTCCTGAGTTCAATTCCTGGTACAAAAAAAAAAAAAAAAACCAAAACAACCAGGCAAGGTATAATTGAAGTACAACAGATGAGCACCTAACACCTAGTCTGGTTTATATTAGTAAAGGCATCCCAGCTATCCTAGAATATAAAGGGGAATCACTAGCAGAGGAAATGACTTACATAGAGAGGCCTGAAGGTAGGTATTAAGAACTGAAAAATATGGTCAGTGTGGGGCTGGGGATTTAGCTCAGCGGCAAAAGCGCCTGCCTGGCAAGCGCAAGGTCGTGAGTTCGGTTCCCGGTACCGGAGAAAAACCAAAAAAAAAAAAAAAAAAATATGGTCAGTGTAAAGTTTAAGAGGGGAAACATTCAACTTTATACTATAGAGGGAGGCAGAAGGGAGAAGATGAATGATCCTGTAAATTAAGCGTAGTGAAGCCATGGCAAAGTTACTGACTGAATGACATGCTAAGTTCTGTATATTTAAAAGAATGTGCTGTGCGGCAGATGGAGTCTGGAGGAACTGTTGACATGATGGATCGAGGTGAGGAATACAGGTAGCCTGATTAAGGATGTGGATATACAGAGAAATAAATGGATCTGAAAAATATAAAAACATGACCTGGTGATGAAACAGATGTAGAGACAGAATCTTGGTTTCATTGGGCAACTGATTCAACTGTGACGTCACTGAAAGACAATCAGTAGAGTGAAGGTGTGTCCAAGCTGGACATGAGTCTGGGGAGCTTGTGAGTTATGAAAGGGTAATGTCTGGTAGTCAGCGGGATAAATGCACCAGGAAGTTCAGGAGAAAGATTTGGGATAATGTCGTAAAATGGAGAGTTTAGCATAGTTGGCTGCTTAAGCTACAAGAATGGGTAAAATCCGGAAAGGCTGTGTAAAGTGCGAGTGCGCTAAGGAACTGAATGCAAGATTAAGTGAAGACCACAAGTGTTGGTGCACATTTATAATCCTGGCACTGGGAAGCTGAGGCAAGGATGGATAAGAGTTTGAGGCAAGCCTGGACCACACAGGTAAGACCTTGTCTCAAAAAGCAAAACAAAATAGGAAAGGAGATAAGTAATATTTGCAAAGGAAGAGAAAAGGAGGTTTCTCATCAGTGAAAGTTTTTCACAAGATAAGAGCAAAGGTGCCAAGTTTATATAAGATGAGGATTTAAAAGTATGTTGTCAGCCTGAACTACAGAGCAAGACCTTGTCTCAAAAATACATATGTATGTTGTACCTAGCAACAAAGAGGAGCAAGCTGGAGCAAGCTGGAGCAAGCTGTGAGTGAAGCAGATGACTAAATTTGTGAAAAACAAGAGAAAAAAGGATAGAAGAACGATGATGCTAGTTGTCTTTGATCGACAGCTGTTTTCTATAGTACTTAGGATTGAACCCAGGGCTTTCACACTGACCTGTATCCCCACTCCCACCCTTTAAAATTATTTTTGGCTGGGCGTGGTGATAATCTTAGCACTTGGGAAGCTGAGGCAGGTGGATCTCAGCAAATTCCAGGCCAGCCTGGGTTACATAATGAGTTCAAGGCCAACCTGAACTACATAGCAAGGCTGTCTCCAAAAAAATTTTTTTTGAGACAGGGTTTCATTAAGTTGTCCAGGCTGAAATCAAACTTGCAATACTCTTGCCTCAGCCTCCCAGAGTGCTAGAATTACAGGACGTGCTATCATGCTAGTATATAAAAAATACGCCATACATACTTAGGAGTACGTAAAGTCACTGAGAAGGTGTGGGTCTGGAGCACAAGTGGAAGAAGTAACCTTAGGTAAGATGCTCTCCATTGTGAAAGGGTGAATGCAGGAGTGTTGCTAGCCTGGTTAACAAGTTGAAGGAGCTCACATGTGATGGCTTCTGTATTCTCTGTGAATTAGGTGAGGTCATTTGCTGAAAAAAAGGGACTAGAAGTGGCAGAGTAGGAATAGGAGCTGATGTTGCAAACACAGCTTGGTGGCCCTGAAAATATAGGCAGTTTGTGCAGCTGTGTGACTTTCTGTAACAGTACTTAGCAACTTAGGCAGACTGCTTGGGTTTGCCTGAAGTGAAGCTTTCCTAGCTGGGCACAAGCACGTGGGAAAAAAAAGACAGGCCTGTCTTTCAAGTTGCTGGTCTGATTTTTTTGTTGTTTAAGTGCCATACTTCATCTGGACAGCTATTTTGATATGATAGTCTAGTGCAGTGATGTGAACTTTTTAGAGCTTTCAGTGACACAAACAGTTCCCTGCAGCATGTGTGCTATAGGTTTGCCACCACTGATCTAGTGGGATTTACTCCCAACCTTGGGTGGGTCTACATATATGATGCTGTTCCACTTACCCTTGAATCGTCTCTCCTATAACTTATTTCACTCCCTCTAAGGAACCTCTGCTTCTACCAATCTAGCCTACAGAACTTGAGTTCCTCTCCTGATACTGATAACTGCTTTTCTGTGAGCCTTCTGCCCTGCTCTGTGAGGCATAGGACCACATCTCTAGCTTCCTGATCATACTCCCAGCTCCCCTTTCAGGACTGAGTGCTGTTGGAGATCCAAGCCCAATCCTGCCCTTCCAGGGTGCTCACCATTGTAGGAGAGTGTGAGGCTCTCCAGAGACACCCAGGAGCTCAGCAGGTGGCATAGTGTCAGAGCTGCCTCTGTGGAGAGGGGAACCGTGAATAGCTCCAAAGTGGAGATGCTTCGGAATCTTTGGGAGGCTTCCAGGGCTGGAAGCCCCAGGCAGCTGGGATCTGAGCCATCCAAAGCTCCACAAGCCACTTCCCCGATCTCCATCTCTTCACCATCCTCTTTTTCACCAGCCACAATAAAAACAAAGTCATACAGGTCTTCAGACTCTGCACCAGATCCCTGACAGACACGAGGACCCTTCTTCCCTGCAGCTCGTTTGAAACGCTTTAAGGGCTTAGGTTGTGGGGCTGAGTTAGCTGGAGCCCTTTTGGATGAGGATGTGGAAGAGGAGGCAGAGGCAGAAGAGGTGGCAGCCACAGTAGAAGGTGGCTGTTTGGTACCAGAAGCCTCCTGGGAAGTGGCTGGAGGGTGCAGCCCTCTCTTAAGGTCTGTCCCGCTTGCTGTCAGGCTCTCGTATGTGCTCCGGCGTGTCACTCGAGTGGCGGGTGCCGCTCTAGGCATCTGCTTGGCTTCATTCTTCCTCCGGGTAGCCATCAGGGCTGCAGCACAGCGCTCTGCAGCATCCCGGCGAGGCCGGCGTGAACCCAGCAGCAGCGACCCTTCATCTCGGGAGGTGGCCCGGCCTCGGGAGGCTTCTCCACAGAGGCGGCAGGGTGGCCCACCAGGGCCTGGCTGCCAGAAGCCAGCACTCATGGTAAGGATAAGGATGAAAAGGGCTGACTCAGGCACAGGCCAGGAGTACAGCGACACTTGGCTGACAGCGCCATGGTGAATGAGCTGATGCAACAGCTGCCTCAGTGACTGCTGAGCAGCCACATCAGAGAACAGCAGGTGGCGGAACTTGAGGGTGTGCAGGGAACTGGCCAGGGTCTCCAGAACCCTGCGGTTGGGCTCTGCCACCAGCTCGGTTGCACCCTGCAGCATGTTGCAAATGGTGAGTTGCCGGACGTGGCGGGAGCTATGCAGAAGAGGTGAGAAGCGCTGGTCGCAAAGGCGCTTGTCAGAAGACACATCAATGGTACCTCGTAGAACATGGGAAAAAAAGGCTTCCATAAACTTGGCTCGCCAACAGGTCACACTCTGAAAGCAAAGAACATGCCAAATAGCTGTAATGCTTGATTTCCTTTGTCCCCTTTCCTCCTTGTACCAATAGGAAGCTATTTACTGAGCACTCATGACTAGGCAACATTCTAAATGATGCAAGTTCATTTAATCCTTACATCTTTGAGGTGTCTTTTACTTTTAGCCTTATTTTACAGGTAAGAAAATAGGTACCCAGGCTGGTGAGTAAAAAACATTTGTAAAAAACATTTGCTTAGCTTTCCTTTCTGTAGGGCAACACTATACTGTGCATGCTTGAGAAACATGGCAGAATTTGTTTTCTATGTATATCAAGTGCAGGATTTTATTTCTGATAGCTTCTGAAGGGTAGAAACGTTTTCCTTTTTTTTTTTTCCTTCCCCATCCCCTAGTGCTGGGAGCCGAGCCCTGGGCCTTAGACTGCTAGGCAAGCACTCCGCCACTAAACCACACTTGCAGCCCAAGAATCATTTTTTCATTCTGTATGTTCAAACTGTTTAATCAATTGACAAAAAGATTTGAATTTGAAAAGACACAGAGGTTATCACACAGGTAAATGGTAATCAAGATCTGAATCCAGGAAATCTAGCTCAAGACCATTCTTTAGCCACAGTCTCTCACAACTGAGTCCCGCTGTAAATTCCTATGTATTTTTTTCCAGAACCTGATCTCAACTTTTTTCAGCTCCTGAAGCCCTCATGTAGTATTCTTAGCTTGACTGTTCTATGTTCCCTTTTCTTCTCCTCATACTACTTTGTACAAGTTAAGCCCACAACTTCTTGTAAAACACTCCTTTCATTAAATAATTCTGCTTCAGACGCCCTCTCTCCTCACAGTCCAGAGTTAGCTTGAATTTCTTCCTCCTTGCAGCAAAGTCTTTCCACAAGATGGCCTCTGCTACCTGAGAAACACCCCCTCCCGGGGGGCGGGGCAGACCTCTGCACTGAGCCACATCCTCAGCCCTTTCGTTATTTGAGGCAGTTTCCCTGTGCAAGTTCAGGCTGACCTTGACAGAGTGCAGGCTAGCTTGACACTAGCAATCCTTCTGCCTCAGCCTCCTGAGTGCTCCATTACAGGCATGTGCTACTAAGACTTTTTTGGGTGTGAGACACATCTCACTAAGTTGCCCAGGTCAGGCTGGAAGTTGTGATCCTTCTAAGCCAGAGGTGTGTGCCACCATACCTGGCTATTTCCCGCATGTTGATCATGGGAATGCTTTGACCTGGACAAACTGGTCACCTCACTGACCCAAACCTTCTGTTCTTTCATACATCGCTAGAAATGGTTTCTGCTGGTGGAGTAAATAGATTTCCTAATGAATAATAGAGACTATTTCTTGTTGAGATTTCTCTGACACTATTCAAGTCTAAGATGTTGGTTCACTATTTTATGGTATTTGGTCTCTTTGCCTATGTACATATCTTCTAACTATGAGGAATCCTGGAGAGCATGAACCGAATCTTAGATTTGTTTTCTCTAAGGTAAGTTATGATGTCATCATTCCTGATATGTTTAGAACTCTGAATGCAGTGGATTTTCAACCTTTATTTTACAAAACAATTTCCTGGAGAGGATTTTTTTTTTAAAGGAAGGTTTATTTTTGGTTTTTGTGTTCTGTTTTTTGAGACAGGGTCTCACTGTATAGTTCAGGCTGGTCTTGAACTCAGCAGTCTTGCCTCAGCCTCCTGAGTGCATAAACTACTACACGCAGTTTAAAACCACCATTTAGTCCTCATCATCTAAGGTACAATAGGAGACTCCAATATAGGTCCCAGCTCTGCCCTGTGGTTTGGACCTTTTTCTTTCTGTAAGGTGTGGTTACTATCACCTGCTTCACAGAATGTTGCAAATATCAAATAAGCACAAGTTAAAACACTTCATTTTTTGTTTCTTGAAATAGGGTCTCGCTATGTAGCCACAACTGGCCTCAAACTTGAGGCAGTCCTCCCTCAGCCTCCTGAGTGCTGGGAGTACAGGCAGTGCCACTATTCTCAGCTATACCTGAGGGTCTTAGGAGTTGGCTCTTACCCTCCTCAGGCAAAAGTATCATTCCCTTTGCCCTAGCTATTTCCCGAGTCTGCCTCTATGATAGTAATTAGAAAAAATGTTTTCATGCTTGAGTTACCTGCATGGCTGCAGCAGAGAAGGACCTAGCTCCCCAGCAGGAAGCCATTAGCTTGCTTTCACGACTCTGCTCAGCATTTTGCAGTGCTAAGAACTTAACCCAGGGCCTTGTGGGTGCCAGGCAAACACTCTATCACTGAGCTACATCCCCAGCTCTTCTGTTTAGTTTTGTTTTTCTGAGGCAGGGTCTCACTATGTAGTTCACACTAGCCTTGAACTCACTACGTACCCCAGGCTGGCCTTAAACTGGTGATCTTCCTGCCTTGCCTCCCACGTGGGCTCAAACTTGTGGTGCTCTTGCCTCAGACTTTTACTGGGACTAAAGGCCTGCCATACCAACAGAGGGTTGCAGAGTGATTTAAGCACTTTATTTTGCATAAAGGTAGGGGAAATGAGACACTGCCAATGAGGTGAAGTGATGTTTGCCCACCAACACTGTTCTTGGCCCAACTTTAGTGGGTGGCAGTTCAGAAGTGGTGGGGCAAAGGGAAGTGTATGTATGTAGTAGGGTGAGATAGGTTTTTTTGTTTTTTTGAGACAGGGTCTCAATATGGAGTTCAGACTGGCCTTGAGCTCACTTTGTAGCTCAGGCTGGTCTCGAACTCAATGATCCTCCTGCCTCAGCCTCCCGAGTGCTGGGATTACAGGCATGCGCCACCACGCCCGGCTAGGTTTTTTTTTTTTGAGACAGGGTCTCACTATGCAGTTCAGGCTGGCCTTGAACTCACTTTGTAGCCAAGGCTGGCTTCAAACTCCCAACGATCCTCCTGCCTCAGTCTCCCAAGTGCTGGGATTACAGGCGTGTGCCATCTTATAGCTGAGATAAGTTCTTTTTGAGACAGGTTCTTGTTGTGTTGTCCATACTGGTCTTGAACTTATGGGCTCAAATGATCCTCCTTCATCAGCTACAGATTTGTACCACCACACTTGGCTAGATACTTGATTATACCAACTTGTTAGAGCCAGAAACTATAGTCACAAACTATATATTGCACATTGCCTTTCTGATGGTAAATACTATGTTCAGGAAGATGAAGAAGCAAACCAAAACTCACATGTAAACCAACCCTGGAGTATGTATGTATACATACATGTGAATAGCTGTATATATTTGTATTTGCAACATGGAGACTATTTTGAACAATTTCAAATGCTAGGCTTAAACATTATACCACCCTGATTTAAATTTTTTTTTTTTTTTTTTGAGACTGGTCTATAATTTTATTTTATTTATTTTGTTTTTGTTTTTTTTTGTTTTTTTCCGGTACCAGGAATTGAACTCACGACCTGGCGCTTGCCAGGCAGGTGCTGTGCCGCTGAGCTAAATCCCCAGCCCCTTATAATTTTATTATTTTGAAAATATACCATATTGCCATATAACAATCTCCCTATTATTGAACATTTAATTATTTCTGATTTTTTGATATTAAATTTTGCTATAATAAACATCTAGAAATATTTTTTCAGGAGTATCTCAATTTTGTGTTTTTGCTTTTGGTCCCATTATAGATAGAGTCCCTCCTGACCTTGAGCTTGCTATGTAGCTCCTAGCAGGCTTCGTATTTGGGATCTTTCTGCCTCAGCCTCCTGAATGTAAGTGCCACCACACTTGGCTTCAATTTTTTTCCCCCCCTGGTACTGGGGATTTAACTCAGGGCTTTAAAATTTTTTTGTTTTGCTGGTTGTCTTTTAAGTCTTCCTATGTCATCAGGGCTGGTCTTGAACTATGTAGTGCAGGCTACCCCTGAACTCTCAGTGATCCTCCTGAGAGACGGGATTACAGGCATGTACTGCCATGCCCGGCTGAAAGTCAACATTTTTCAATTTATTGGAGATTTTTGTATATTTCTGATTTGTCCAAATCTTCATTTAATTTTATGAAAATGTTCATCTTTTCCTTATCCTTCTTATCCTTTGCTTTGCAAATGTTTTCTCCCAGCTTATGTATCTTCATTGTTTTTTTGAGACAGGGTCTTGCTTTGTAGTTCACTCTAGGATTGAACTTGCAGCATCCTACTGCCTTGGCCTCCTGTATATATCTTTTTAAGTTTTTATAGTTAAATAAGCACATACGTGGTTTTTCTTTTTTATTTTTTCTTTACACTGCTTGGGATAGAACTCAGGGCCTTTTGCATGATATGTAAATGCTCTACCACTGAACTAAACCTTTAGCCCCAAATTTTCTTTTTCTTTCTTTTTTTTTGTCTTTTTGAGACAGGGTCTCGCTACGCAGTTCAGGCTGGCCTTGAGCTCACTTTGTAGCCCAGGGTGGTCTTGAACTTCCAATTATCCTTTGCCTCAGCCTCCCAAGTGCTGGGATTACAGGCGAGTGCTACCATGCCCGGCCCCAAATTTTCTTGTTTGGTTTGCTCATTCATAATTAGCACTCTCTCCATCCTGAGATTAGCTATCAAGTCACTTTTATTCTTTTTCAGTTGTTTTATACTTTTACATTTTACAATTTAATCTTTAATCCATATAGAAATTGCCTGAGCATATTGTGAGGTAAAGCTGTAAATTAATTTTTTCAGAATGGTTAACCAATTGCTACAGAACCATTTATTAAATCATCCTTCACTTCCCCACTGCTTTGTCACCAGAATACCTACTGTATTACAGAAAACTCTTACATATGCCAGTACCACAGTGTTTGAAATAGTCTTGCTTTATAAACAGTATCTCTCTCTTTCTCTCTTTTTTTTTTCTTTTTCCTCTCTCTTTTTTTAATAAGCAGTATCTCTTGAACCTAGCATTGGTCCTGGAAATGAACAACTCAATAAATGGGTCCGCACCCCTTTTCTTTTGTGATCCTGGGGACAGAAACTAGTTTCATGCATGCTAGGCAAGTGTTTTATCACAAAGCTACACACCAAGCCCCTCAATAAATACTTTTGAATTGTGAGATGAAATTCTGTTGCAAAAGTAGGAAGCAGAAGGAAACAACTGGAGTAGATATCTAAGTCAGGACCTCTACCTGAATGACCTGTTTCACCACCAAATGTTCTGAAATGCTTTGTAACAAGATAGCAAAATTCTTTTTCAGAAAGCCTAGATAAAGTTGGACAAAGAAAGCTTTCTCCAAGAGACAGAAACAGTTTTTGTCACCTGCTGGTCAACTATGCTGATTGTCAAATAGTGGGACAAAGTGAATCTGATTTAAAGAAGGCAGAAAGTTATTTCTCTTTTCTAATATTCTTGCATCCAGTTTTCCTCATAAGGCCTAGTGTCTGAGGATTTTGTTGGGCCTCAGTGTCCTCATCCTGAACTCCAAGGGTTACAGTTGAGATCTGGAAGTGGAAAAGCTAAAGGATATGGGACTGAATGTTACTGAACCCAGTGTTGATACCAGAATTAAATCTCCAGTTAAATTTTTTTCTTTTTTTTTCTTTGTTCATTTGGCCTCATTTACCATATAAAGACCAGCTCAAGTATACCTCCTAAAAGACTTTCTTGCTCCCTTCTCCCTCCATTTGCCTCTGTCACACCACTTATCCTATCACCACTAAAAATCTACTTGTAGGAGCTGGGGATTTAGCTCAGCGGCAAAAGCGCCTGCCTGGCAAGCGCAAGGTCGTGAGTTCGGTTCCCGGTACCAGAGAAAAAAACGAAAAAAACCCCCCAAAAAAATAAAAATAAAAAAAATAAAAAAAAATAAAAATCTACTTGTAGATTTCCTCATTAAATTGTTAAGTTGTTAAGATTAGGGAGTGTCAAAAAAAAAAAAAAATTTTAGGAGGCTGGGACATGGCTCAGCAGCACAGCACCTGCCTGGCAAATGCAAGATCCTGAGTTTGATTCCCGGTGCCAAAAATTAAAAGTAAAAAAAAAAAGACTAGGGAATGTGTATGTACTTCAGATATCTGAGATAAAATCTGTATGTGGTTTGAGTTAATGTTTATTGAATTAAATCTGTTCTGTCACCTAATTATGGAGTAGCTAAAGAAATCTGCTTAAATAAGAGCTCCAGTGATTTGTATTTGAATTAGTGACTAGTAGAATCTTATGGCTAAAAGGAGCCCTAACATCATCCTGTCAAGCCCATTTTTTTTTTTTTTTTTTTTTGTCTTTTTGAGACAGGGTCTCACTATGCAGTTCAGGCTGGCCTTGGACTCACTCTGTAGCCCAGGCTGGTCTCGAACTCACAACAATCCTCCTGCCTCAGCCTCACAAGTGCTGGGATTACAGGCGTGTGCCATCATGCCCAGCCTTGAGCCCCTTTTAAAATGCTGAAATCTCTGTCTGTGTAACACCCTTTCATCAAGTAGTTATCTGAACTCTCTTTGAACATTTGGTAATGAATGGGAAGCATGTTATCTCTGGAATTAGCTTGTTTCATCACCAATAATCACAGAGTTTAAAAGTTTTACCTTTAGTTTAGTAAAAATGTATCTTCCTTTATCGTCCACCCTAGAACAAGTCTATGAATCCCTTTCATGTGATAACATTTCAAGGCAGTGCATATTTCCCAAGTCATCTCTTTTTTTTTTGAATAATGTCTTGTCTTTCAAATGTGACTCACGTGATGCAGCTTTGACTTCTTTCTCCATATTCCAGGGATAGAGAGCCTGACCACTGCAGAGCCAGGCAGAACTATTCTCCTCCTTGTCTTCCAACCTGTATTCATATTAGTTCATATAGCATAGGTTCTCGATATGTAGTTCAGGCTGGCCTTGAACCCACTAGGTAGCCCAAGCTAGCCTAGACTCATAGTGATCCTCCTACATCAGCTCCCAAGTGCTGGGATTACAGGTGTGCGCCACACACCCGGCCTAAATCATTTTAATGTAAGTACTGTTAAACTGCACCCCCTTACCCATAAGCCATGCAATTAAAATTTTTTGGACTCAGTGAAGAGTTGGTTTATTTGTTAATTTCTCTTCGTTAGATTTGAGCACTGCTTCAACTCTGTCAAGAATTCTAGAATTCTGGCTCTGCTATTCATTGTGATCATACCCTTGTCTGTTTTGGGTCCCCTGAAAATATGGTGAGCAAACAAGTGAATTACAAATGCCCAACGGGCCAGAACCCCACAACAATACATCTGAACCCTCCTCCGAAGTCGATTCCATTTCTGCCCCTGTACCTTACCAGTTGCCAGCTTGTGTTTGTGTGTCGTTCCTGCTTTTACTGTGCAAAATTAAACTAGAGTTCTACCTGGTACCTTAAACTTACTTCCAAACTGGAAGGTCTTGTCTTCATCAGCTCATCCCAGAGTCGGCGCCAGATAGCCTGAGTGGAGAGGCCTGTAGGGAGAATATCACACTTACTTGGCTGCTTGTTGGCCATCATAAGGGACGTACATCAGCCTTTTATCTTGTCCTCTGGCTTCACAGGAACAATGTGGGCAGAATTAAAGAGTCCCAGCTCTAAAGACAGACTGCATGGGTTTGAACATCAGCAAACCTATACTCTAATCTCGGACAAGTTAAATAATTTCTCCTGGGTTTCAGTTTCATCTGTAAAATGTAGTTAATAGTAACTATCTCCTAGGGTGGTTGTAAGGATTAAATGAGTTTATAAATTTCTCTAGGGAAATATCCAGGACAATGCTTAGCCCGTTAGGGTTAGATAAATGTCAGCTCTAACAGACTGTCCAAAGAGAGTGAAGAGAAGTAGGTTGGTAAAACAAAAAACCAACATTCATAAGATCTGGGTTCTAGTTTTGGTTTTGCTATTAATTAGGGTGTGCATATTTTTCACTTTTATCAGAATAATAAGGATGATATCTTGCTTGGTGTTTCACAGGACACTGCAGGGAATAAGAAAATAGGTATGAGGATACTTTTTGAAAAGCATGAAGTTCTATGGGGGCATCAAGTGTAGTATTTACCTGAAGAACATCATGGTGCCTTCCTCACAATCATCGAGAGACAGAAAGACACTCACCTTTCTTGAGGGCAGTTTCCTCAATCCTCTCCAAGTAATATATATTGAGCAGAGGTAAGATGCTTTGGAGTATTGGGCCTGGGAGGGCTACAAAAACCAAAACACAAAGTTTACTTTCCCCCCAAGGGTTCCAAGAATTACATATTCTACTGGAAAGGAAAATAGAAGGGTAGAATTCTCATTTGACAAATGTAACCTAGAGAAGCTAACCTAAATGTGTTCCAAACTTTGGTCTACTTCAGCTACTGGGTAGCTGGAATTTCAGGGGTAAAGGTGAGACAATGCCACAAAACAAGGTGATATGCTCATAACAAACCATTCTCCATTAAAAAGGTCCTACTAAATATATGTGATAAAAGCATCTTAATAATCTACCCTACTAACTTTAGCTCTCTCTTGTCTTCTATACTTAAACCACACTGAACTTTTATTTACCTGTTATGCTTCTGCCTATGTCATGCTGTTCTCCTGTCACTTTCAGCATGTCAACTACTCATCTTTCAACTATAATAAGCCTTTTTATTAAGCCTTTCAGAATTCCTTTCCCATCTTCCAATCTGACCACTTTCACATACTGGGCCAGCACTATACCCCGAACTATACTTTTCTGTAAAGAATGGAGACAACTTAGTCTGTATTCTTTAAATTTACTGTATCTTCAAAAACAAAACCAGCTTTTGCTAACGTTTTTAGTTCTGAGAGGGATTTCAGTATTGTGGCTAAAGGGTTTAGTCTCTAGAGTTGGACAAATCTGAATGAAATCCTGCCTGATCACTTAGTTAATTTTGAGTGCATAGAAAAATTATTTAACATCTTTAAGCCTCAGTTTCCTCCATTTGAAAATAGAGATAGCAATGACTATCTCATGATAAATGATGACACTGTAAAGATTAAAGGACAGCGTGCTAGTAATTTGGTTAAGACAATTCCTGGCCACAACAGGCTCACTAAATATAGGATATTATTATGTTTATTCTGTCAACAGTATCTCTATCCTATCAAGAATAAGTCTAAGGTCTTGGAGTATAGAAAAACTCTTATTCTGCTATCTACTTTTATCTTTACTTGTGGAATAATTGAATCTTGAGCTGAAGAATCTAGGATAATTGTACATTCAGTGTACCTTCTGAAGGTAAGTATTAATTCTTTATGCCTTTTATACTAATGTAGGCCCTCTCATCTACTGTCTGGATTAATGCTCTTGACCTCAGTCTCTGTACTGCTCTTGGTGATGAGATTCTCCTCAAAGCCCTTTATTTTATTTACTTATTTTTGTCTTTTTGAGACAGGGTCTTGCTATGCAGTTTAGGCCTTGAGCTCACTTTGTAGCCGAGGCTGGTCTTGAACTTGAAACAATCCTGCTGCCTCAGCCTGCCAGTGCTGGGATTATAGGCATGATGACACCCGCTTCTCAAAGCCTTTTAAAGGCCCACTACTGCATTTAAGATAAAGTTCAAACTCCTCATCCTGACATTCAAGATATAATAAACCTTATTCTACTTAAGTTTCATCATTGTGCCAGTCTGTGCTACATAGTGAGGTCAAAGCCAGCCTGGACTTTGGTGAGACCCTATCTCAAAAAAACAAAAAACCATTTTCTCCCCTCACTGTCCCTTTTTCCTCTGCCTCTACTCACTCGTCCCATCCAACCTCCTACACAAAGTAGCGCTCGTTTTTACCCCCAGGGAGCCTTTCCCAGTAGTCCACATTGAGACCTTCCTCCAAAATAGCACTATTTAGCAGGCCTTTTACTTGGCTCTCTCCTAAAAGGCCTTAGTTAATTGAGCTTTTTCTGTGTGACTGCTTGGTCTAAGCCCACAGGACATCTTTCTTCCCTATCTCTTCTCAATCTGGATGGAGGCTCAGCCCGCAATAATGGTAGAGGTATGTACTGCAGTGGTGGTAGTGGTGGTATAGGGGCAAGGGTGAAGAGCCAGTACAGAAAGAAGTTCCTCCAGAGCCTTACCCGCTCTTCCTCCAATTTGCTCCCCTCAGTTTAGACAGCCACAGGAATTCTCATCCCCTGCTACCCACAAACTGCTTTTAATTTCTCCATTTTTTTTTTTTTTTTTTTGAAACAGGGTCTAACTATGTAGTTCAGCACCATCGGGCCCGGTCCTCTCTATTCTTTTTAGACAGACTTTTCTCTGCTTTTTTTCCCGCCTCTACCTGTCTTTAGCGCTTCCTCCTCCCAACTGGGCCATACCCAGTCCTCTCCCCTCCCAGCTGGGAGTAGCGTCCCAGAAGCTTCAGGTGGATACAGCCAGACGCCCCCTGCCTTCCACATTCCCACAACTTTTCTGAGCTCCTGCTCAGCTCTACGGGCACTTTTTTCCCATTCCTCATGGGTCAGCTCTCCCATTCCAAGTGCTGGCACAAGGCCTCCACAGTCCCTCCCCCACTTCTAACAGTGCCCTGCCCCCACTACTCCGAGGGCCTGGGCCTCCTCAGCATTGGCGGCCCTCGCCTGCCACCCACCACCAGCGCCTGCCGGATCACTCGCCAAGGCCTCGGGGCTTATCCCCGGGCCTCAATCCCCCCGGACACCACCGTGTGCTGGTGTACAGTAATGCAAGCCCCCACCGGGGCAGCAGGCTTTCACTCTTGACCTGCCGGGGCCTTGTCCAGGCAAGGGCGCAGCCGGCCGCCCCCACCCCTAGGCCTCCTCTGGAACTCCCCTCCCCCGACGCCGAGGCCCGGAGCCCGCGGCTCCCCCGGGCCCGGCCTGCGATCTCGCCCACTTCAGCCTGGCTCTGAACCCCAGGGCCTCACACCACCCGTCTGTCAGGCCTGGGGCCTCCCTGTCCCCCGTGCGGCCAGGCCTGCGTCGCAGAGTCCTCACTTGCCCCTCTCTCCGGACCGCGGTCCTCACACGGCCGACTCGTTTCCCCCGTCAGCCC